TATTAATGATATTCAGGATTTATAGTTAGAAATACTCTTTTCATTGATTTCATTATTAGAAGTCTGTAACATCTAAGCATTTTTTTTAAATGCTGATCTCATTTCCAAATACCCTTAGGGAACAACAGCCACAACAACAAAATTAGAAACACATTACTGAAGACAAATTAGAATAACTAAGCTTAACACTATACAGGAAAAATGCAGCGTTAAAATATATGAGGCAAAATTGTTTTCTAATTATCCCAATGTTAAACATCATTTTGTCCTTGGAATGAGCAAGGACAGAAATTTGTGACATGCTTTTACAGTGTTAAACACAACTGTAGTTTATGCAAGTTATGTACTAGATCAGTATATTTCCTCAGTACAGTTAAGGCCAAAGAGATTTAATAAGATATTTTAATTAATTTTTAATTAACAAGTCTTTTTTAAAAAATGCTTTTAACCCTCCCTTCCTTTGGGACCATGATTTCAGGAAGTCCTGAGAAAATAGATAGATTATTTTTCAGCGCTGCTTACACAGGAAACCTGGAGGGATAGATCAAGTGAAAGAGATTCTCCAGTAAGCATGGAAAAGCCAATGCTATCACACCTATCACATTGATGGCAAAAGCAGAAGGCCACAGATATCTACCAATCTGTACTGGGGCAAACCCCTCAGATACTTAGTAGTATCTGTAGTTTTCTGAGGTTGGTAGGACAAGTGTTTCAGAGCACACATGGCCTGGGTTAGAGATAGGCTTCCCTTATCACTTCTGAAGAAGTCTCCATGAAACAGACATTCTCCCACCACCTGTGCATAGTGCATGCACATGTGCAGACTAGGCAATGACATTTTCTTATCACAATGTTGTTGAAAAATGTATTTCCTCTCTTTTTCTTTTCAGGAGCATAAATAGAAACCACATATTTCCAAAACCAGAACTGTGTCATAATAGCCAATGCAGGACAAGAGGGAAAGGTTGTTGTGGTCTGCAATATCTTCTCAGGTTAGTAACCTTCTCTTCCTCCCCCTCTTCCAGCCCCAAACATGTGGCTATCATAAACTCTTTAAGGCAACATTGTCAAATACATTCACCAAATATTCTGATAAAAAAAGAATCATTCAAATAAAAAAAGTATGTTGATGAAAATACTCTGTTTAGAGCATTGCTTCATATTGGTGAATAGCTCATTTGCTATTCCTGGATTTTAGAGCTCAGTGCTTTTGTAGTAGATATTTTTAAATAAAGGTTAATGAACATGTTTGTCCTATGTTACATACTTGAAATGTCTGTGGAAATAAACAAGCACCCGCTTCTTAAGGCACTACCTATGGTAGGATTTGTAGGTCTTGAAATAAGCAGACAGGCCAAATACACATGGGTTTCACAGATCATTCTCCAGCAAAAATCTGCACTTATGAGCTAACTCCTTATCTCCACTTCAATCAAATGAGCTTATTGTTAAAGTTTTACAAAGCAACCCAGCAGCAAGGTGAAAGATGAAGAGATTATTGAATAATAGATAAGAATATTTTTAGTCAGCTCAGATGTATTCATGCATCTGACAGAGCACCAGGAAAAAAGCCCTCAGAAAGGTGCTGGCTGAATTCCAGCAAAAGCAACCTGACTGTCAGGGCCCTGCAAAGGCTGAGGTCTTCCCATGAGAGACAGCAAAACAGAGCTGCTGGGGAGGCACCAGGAAAGCCAAGAGAGTCCCAGCCGCAGGCATTGGGTAACTCTGTGGGGACATAGGCCTATGGTGGTCCTAGCCTGGGGCACTCACAGCTGAGCAGGGCTGTGGGCAGCGGGAGAGTCCCTCTGCTGCTGTGCCCCATCACTGGGGCAGAGACCAACAGCCCCAGGGAGCTGACATGGGATCCCGGGCTGTAGGCAGTGTGGGGGGAGCCCCAGAGGGCTGGGCAAGGCTAGTCAGAAATGGGGGTGCCCTCAGAGCCCTGATATAGTTATGCAGAGATGCAACATTAGTACTAAAAAAGTGGTTCATATTTCTGGTCCTGCAATTGATTAACTTTTGCTTCTTTTTCACTCATAGCTTTATAAGCCAACAATCCTGCCCTTAAATTTGCAGCAGCTGGAACTGTAAACCTATTCCAAGGTCATTCTTCCCATCAAATTTCCTACAATGTAGTTAAATGCAGGGGCAACAAAGCATTTATAATGATCTGGAAAGCACCTTCCCCATGCACAAAAGAAGAAAACTACCAAATTGTCTGATTTCAGTCCTGTTCTGCTTCTTACCCTGCATCCATTACCCAGTGAGAGTCATTGTTCCATTATTATGGTCTGAAGAGACAAAGAGTTTTAAAAGATCTTTTCAGTGCGTGAGCCAGCCCTCTCCGTGTTGTCTTTCCCTTCTAATGAAGATCACAGTGTAGTTGACATCTTTGATCCTGAGAGCCTCTGAAAAAGTGAAGGCGTAATGATGTTATTCACTTAAAAGCTAGGGAGATACTGACTGAAACAGCATCTACTGAAATAAAGTAGGTGTGAATAATGAAGTGTCACTTGGATATTCAGAACTTCATTCATTAAAAAACATTTCTGAAAGGAACTGGTTCATGTGTCCCTGGAAACACTAGCACAAGACGTGCCAGGCTAAATCAGACTTGGCATTTAGTCTGGAATCAAAGTACTTGAACATAGTCCATCCTCCCACAACACTGACTACAGAGCACAAACCCCTTCTTTTACCTTGTGTGTGACTATGAGACTATGCAGCAGTGGGCTAGAGAATCTCTTAAAAGGCAGGTGTAAACAGGGAATACTTATCTCAGCGGTATTCAAGAAGCATAGTTCCTCACAACGTAAAGGTATGACAGCCCCCAAAATACTTTACCATGTGAAAGAACCAAATTTTTGTCTTTTGGACCAGGGACAATCATAAATCTGAAGCACCATGGAGCTCATTGCTGCTTAATCTACCTTGATTTGTTGACAGGACATTCTTTATGAACTCCTTGCTCCCTTAACTAGACTGCTGTACACAACTGAGTTAACATGTTCAAAATTAGCTTGGATGTGTCTAAGTTATACCTTGGGTCCTATAGAAAAAGAAAAGATACAAACTGGGAGTTGAAACTGCAGCATTGACATAGCCCAGCATTTTGAACCCCTGTCCAGAAAGGCATTTCAGCACACATGCAGCTGTAAGGCTCTGAATAGACTTGGCAACTGCTTTAGCTTAATAATGGTGAAGCATGTTGTGAGCTCCCTTCTGGATTGGAAATCTCTGAAAGGTTTTATAAAATGCAGTAGAACTTCAGAAAGCAGGAAACAACATTTATTCAATTTCACTCCTCTCAATGTGAATGCACTGGAACTAGGATATTTTGGCATAGAACTCAGACATATTTAAGCAAATGTCAGAGGCCATCAAAGGCTCAGCAAAGTCAGTTTTGGTGGGTATGGGCACGTACAGAGGGGGTCCTTTCCCAAAGCCACACAAACCCAAGTGCCAAGTTACAGAAGTCCGGATGAACACCAGCAACATGGAACAAGGAGCCATTCATCTTTCTGTGAGGACTTGCACAGGCTATTGTGCCACTGCAGAGTGCAGGGCCCAGAAGAGTGCTGCAAGTAACACAGCTTCTTAAGAAAATAGCAGTAAATAAATCTGTGTGCAATGCTCTCCTGGTGACAAACCAGTTCAAAAGAAACCCACAATAAACACCTTCAGGAGAAGAACATCATGCAAGAACCCATCTGTGCACACACAAACACACAGAGACACCAGCATATTTATCCAAAACAATCTCACATAGCATCTCACTTCAGATCTTGTGGATCACATGGAGGCATAGGGTCATCTACATGCAGATCACTGCTTTTTCAGCCAGATGGATCCACCATCTGCATCTTCTGCTTTCCAGCTCCCTCAAAGTGAAGTTTCAGACAGACCAAAATACTGAAAAGTCTCCCTGCCTGCAGACTGCAACTTTTGGAAATGGCTGTGTCAGCTGATATTCACCCCCTGTAATGACACCATTTGTTATTTGAAGTTGTGTTTTCATTTCTGAAGAATAATGCACATGCTTCAACTCCCTTCTCAGATGTGTCATCCCACTGCTATTCCTTTCTTCTTTAAGCTACAGTTTGGTATTCTTTTAAGTGAACATGATTACCAATAAAGCATTCCCCACTTTCTCCCGCTCCCAAAATTTCTCCCAGATCATCTGTTGTACTGTGCCATCACAAATATTTGTGTGGCTGCATGGTTAACCAGATCAAGGAACTGATCCAGATGAAAAACAGCCCCTGGGAAAAAATGTGCAATTTTTGCAATATAGTTCCCCACAAAGTCATACAAATGCTTATGCTGCAGTTGTAAGAAGGTTTCCATAAGAATAGGGATGACTGACTGAGAAAAAGGAAGAGGAACAATCTGGTTTTTTAAGCAGTTTTTCTGGCCTTAATGTGGTGCCATGGTTTGGCATTTGCTTTCACCAGCATTTGTCCACAGAAAGCACATAGAAATTCCATAGAAATTCTTGCTTTGGGGAGTAAACATGCAGAACTATTGAAAATTCCTTCTGAATGCCCAGGGAAAAGTTCTTTGCACAGCAATATCTAACTCTTGCCAGCATTGGTGCCCAAGTCCTTAAGGTCCAAAACAGTGTCCTTCCATTTGAAGAAGAGCATTCTCCTATCAATGACCAGCCCAAGGATCCTTTGGAGTCAACTGTTAACACTTCAAAGGCAAACAGCCTATTTCTCCTTCTCAAGATTTAAGGACTGGTAAAACAGAATGCTACCTTGTTACCTATTCCATAGCCCTGTGGTGTAAATGGGAGAGAAAAATATGGAAGCATTACCATTGGATAGCATTTTATCAAAAAGCCTTTTGAACATAGCTCACCTCCCCATTTAACAGTTTTTAACAAACTAAGCCTAAAACTAGAGACAGAAAGTCCTGACACCAATTCCCTCGGTTTCACTTCTTTTTTGTCTTGTTTTCTTCACAACAAAGTGGCAGTTCCACTGCTGATATTTCTTAGGACCCATGTGATAATCTTTTGTGAGACACTTGAAAATTGGAGTTAAATGCAAGCTTGCTGGTGAATAAAGCTGCACAGAAGGCAGACATGTTCCCTCCTCCACCTAAAAAAAAAAAAAAAAAAAAAAAAAAAAAAGAGAGAGTCAAGAATTACTGTTTTCTCCCCACTAGTTTGTGGTATGAGATAGCAGGGATACAAAACCAGCTGATGCCATGAGTGGGAGGACTGACTACAAAGAGAACTCTTATTGTTTCCAGTAACTGTACAATTAACTTAAATTGTGGCTATCTTTTCACCAGGGGTTTAACATATTCAGACTAAGGATAGTGTCTAAGTGAACATTACAATTTCCTGGAGAGATTGCAAACCAGTGATCCTCCCTGAAATTGTATACCATTGCTTACCCTTCACTAACCCAAAACATGAGGGCTGTGTGTTACCATAGGCTAGGGGACTTCCTCCACACAGTGTCTGTGCCACGGCAAGTCCAGGGACAGAGCTCTCACACAAATGGTGGGCATATTTAGCATCAGGCAGTAAAAATCAGGGGAAAATGTGCAGAAAAGTAACAGAAAAGGACTAATTCTCATCATATCTACTATTTGGATAGCTCTGCTAATTTTGATGAAAGCCAAGAGGGACTCAGCTATAGAACAGTGAGGTAAACATTTTTAGACATTGAAGGTGTTTGAACTCTAGGGAGCCCAGAGAATATAAAATCTACTGCTGGGCAGAGACTGCTTAAGGAAGTTAGAGGCCTGTTTTTAACACATCCTTAGGAAAGTTGGCAAGAAGAATTGTCTTTGAATTTTTCCACTAACTGCCAGTTCTCTACACATCATTCTGTCTCTACTTCTGGTTGTACTCATGTGGCTTTTGGAGCTGTGATGGGCTGAGAATATGACCAAAGCAATATTTGTAAGGGCAGGTCTTATTCTTATTAAATTAAAGGGACAGGAAGCAGACAGATTTTCAGGAACATAAACTCATCTGCATGTCGCTGAAAGTCAATGTGCTTGGAAGTGTGCCAGAGCTGTTTCTAGCTATACCTGTCTAGGAAAATATGACATTCCTCTTCAACACCCCTCTACTTGATCTGGTGCTCAGCTTTTTCCCTCCCCAGTAAAGCCTCCTCTAACCCTGTCTCCATTCTGACAGCATTCCCAGCCTTGTCTGGATGCACTGAGTTTTCATACCCTCATTTCCACCTATCTTCCCATTCTTCTCACCCTGTCCCACCACCTCTTCAAGGCCTCATTGAGCCAATCCTCTGGATCCCCTACTCTTACTACACTGAAGCTCCTTTGACAGGCCCCTGTCAGGCAGGAGCAGTTCCATAAAACTTAGTCTTCTGCAAGGCAAAGCCACCAGAAACGTTTCTATCCAGCCAGAGCAACTGTCTCTGCCAGGCACTGCCTGATAACTGGATGATGGTGCTGTCCTGCTGCAGCCATCACGAGTATAAATAACCCTCAGAAATGGAGTTCCCTTCAGTTTTGATCATTTCAGCGATTGGGTTCAATCCACTTCCTGGCACACAGTTGCAGGGCCAAAGCCAGCAGGATGAAGCAGAGATGGGAATGAAAGGCTGTATATAGGGTGAAGGAGGAAAGTGGTTAGGTGAGCTAGAGAAATGTTTAGGGTGCCTCTGCCCTGCAAAAAACAGCAGGGGGTCAGAAAGGAGCATTCACAGTAGCAAGGAAGCCGCCTGTGTAACAGGCATTATTTTTCCCTGCATCTCATAATAACACAATATTTTGTGAGCTTTGTCCAAAGCTGCTATGCAGAAAATACAGCAGCATTTTGCAATACTTTTAATGTTGTTGTGTCAAAATGTTCTTCAGTTCTGTATGAAGTTAAAAGGAACAAGAACAGATTAGGACCCAGTTGAGTGAGGGGGGGAAAAAGGCAAAGAAAATTGCCAAATACTTGCCTCAATGGGCCATCAAGAACTGAAGGGGCAGCCCCCTGCAGACACACACAGGACCCATCTGATACTGTGCTTCTGCAACTGAAGACAGTCTCTTGAAATGAGGGGAAAGTGAGGGTGGGGCAGGGGAAGGAAGAACTTCCAGCAATTTACTGCAGAGCACTGAATCCCCCCATAGTCAAGCTTAGCTAAGGGCAAAGAGTGGTGAAGAGTAGGAATACCTCAGATAGGATGAAAGGAGAAAAATAATGTCCCAGGTTTCTGTCTAGCATGGACTGTATAGAGACTTGAGCTGCTGATGAATCAACATGAATCAGCCCTATTATACTCCAGACCACAACCATGATGTAAATTGAGGTGATGCAGCAGCTGACTCAGAGGCACCTTGCACATCCTGGGTGAGGCACAGAGCTGGGGACAGCAAGCCATCAGCAATACCCAAATAAACTCATAAAGCCTGAGCAACAGGCCTAAGGTATTTTACCCTCTCTAGTTCAAATAACCACTATGTATCAAGCCAACATGTAATGTGCAATGGCTCCCTGCCTTCCTTTAAAAGAGCAAGTTCTTCTTCAAGATTGCTTTGTCTCACCAGTGACATCACTGACAAGTGGAGGTGCTGAGATCACAGCCTGGTCACCCCACTCAGAGGAGACAGGGGCTGGTCAGGACATATGATCTTCTCCCGCCATGAACATCTGGAAGCAGAGCCACATGAAGCAGCAAACCACACAGCAAAATAATGCACATTATATTTACATTTTAGCATTAGATGTCCTGTTTTTACTTTCATGCATACTAAAAAGAATTTTATGGAGTTTTTTTAATTGATATTGTGCCGGCTGATGAAAAATCATGGTACATCACTTTGAGCCCTGGACAAAGAGCTCCTTTTTTGACCTTGGATCTCTTTGTGCAGTATGTTGTGGTCTTTTTGGATATCATCTCATTGGAAAATAGCAGGGGCTGACAGAGTTGTAACACCAGGGGGACACAGCAGATGGATGGGAACCATGGACTTCAGCACTTTCTTTGATATCTGCATTACTGCAGCTAGAGTGGGGCTGCCTTCTCTTTTGCTCCCTCTGCATTTTGCACATGCGGCCACACACCTGGAAAGGAAAGGAGCTCTCAGCAACAGCTTCATGGCAAGGAAAAAGGAAACAGGCATATGTTCAACATCACTATACAGCCTACTACCACTACACTGTGGCCCTGATCCTGAGAGATGATACCAGAGCTTTCAAGGATAGTCCCACACCACAGAAGGCACTGCCTGCTTTGTCATTGGCTATGGTAAGAACAGGCATAGGTATCACAGAAAATTTGACGGGTGAAGGTACAGGTTTACCTGCTGTTTGTACCTAGATATCACGCTTTCAGCTTTCACAACATTTACAACTAATAAATTGTAACAAATGGAAATACAACAGCCTACATAGTGCAATCCTTACTTACAATAAGGCAGAAAAGAGTAAATAAAAGTTCTTCTCAATAAATAGAAATTGTGTGGATGTGATCTAGTTTTTACTATGTTGAACATACTAAATGTTTAGAGGGCCTCTACCTCTGTTGAGCAGTTTTGATATTAGCTTTGTATTTGTGCTGAATGAAATGTGTGCAAATGCCTGACAGAGTCAAAGGATGCCTGAAACAGGATTTAAGCTTGAATCATAGAACCACAAAATAATTAAGGCTGGAAAGGACCTCTGGAGCTCACCTAGTCCAACACCCTGCTCGAAGTAGATCTGCTGCCAACACCATATCTGGTCACTTGATCAGCTTTGCCTTTGCTTTCACAGCACTTTCCTGGGACTGAGGCTTTGGCAGCAGTGGTGCTTTTGCCAGCTGAAGCCATTCCTACTCCACCTCCAACCCTGTCCTCCCAGCACAAACATTTGTGTAGCCTCCTAAGGAAGTGAATCAGCTGAAATATAATCTGTACTGCCAATGTCATAATAATTTTTTCTATCCAGAACAGTTCCCCAGTCCAACATATTCAGTAGTCATACTCACAACCTTTGTGGAAGAAGAGCCAGACAAGGACAAGCAGCCAAGAGGATGAAGGAAAAGGAGGAGGAAAGAGCAACGAAAATGCTTGCCTGAACCAGAGATGCAGATTAATGAATTCTGTGTTAATACCAACCCTCAGATAAGCAAGATTCGATTCCTGTTCAAGATCCTCCACCACTACAATTTCCTCTTCAGGGGTGGGACAGGGTGATTAAGTATTGCTTATTGAATATTTTCACATACCTGAACTTGTTGGGAAAATTCTATCAAATGTATAGGAACCAGGTGAGTCTGTACATGTGTCAGAAAGAAGAAACAAGCAGAAAGTTGACCTGAACAGAAGAATGAAATAAATAAAATTTTCCAACAGGAATAGCCAGACTGGCTTGGCTACAGAATCTGGGTTGTCCCCACCCAAAATTTTGTGGAAAGGCATTTGCTTCAGAATTAGATCAAGCCTGAACAACGCTGGAATGTACTAACCTACCTTCACTCCAGTTTTCTTTCCCTTCTTCACAGTATCTTCATATTTGCCAAAAGGACCCAAAACATTATTTAAAATAACTGACAAGACAATCAATCACTGACCAAAACAATCTGAGGAAATTCCAGACAAGGACTAGATTGCTGAAAATTAAGGCAATTGATCCTCATTAGTGCTACTGCCAACATTAAAAAAAAAAAAAAAATTAAAAGACTTGATTAATTCCATCTAGCAACAGGTATTTAATGCAGACACCTGAGACAGAAACCAGATCACAATAGTCCCTGTGTGTAATCCATGAAGAGTAGCAAGCACCTGCTGAAGATAATTCACTGCAACATCCAACTTACCATTTCTGTATAAGCTCATTGGAGGTTGAAACTGCCCTCCAAGCAATACTCAAACACACTCATCACTGACCAGTGAGAGGCTCCATGCACTGCCCTGTCACTTTTTATTTCAATCTCAGTCAAATTGCATTTTGAACTGGTCAGAGTTCAAAATGCAATTTGAAAGCCAAATACAGACTGAACTACAACTTCAGACATCAAAGAATAATTTACTAAAATCAATCCAAAACTGAAGCTTGAAATAATATTTTAAACAACATAATGAATTGGTTTGTCCAGAGTTAAAGATAATACTCCTACCCAGAGTATAATATTCCTGTATAGATTTAGCAGAAGCCTCCAACTAGTCCTGACTCTCATCATCACCCTGACTTCAACATTAAATGTATCCTTATAAACACTTCCAGTCCAAACAAAAGTGGAAGTAGCAATAATCTCCTGGCTCCTAACTGTCAAAAATCCCAACTCATTTCCCCACGTGTACCATAGAACAGAAGGTACCAAAAAGCCACCTTAAGAGCAAGGAGTGGCTTTAACTAGAACCCTGTGCCAAACCTTTAGCCTCTGTCTACAGTTCTATCACTGATTACAGTTTCAAATTGACAGGTGACTTGAAGAGCCACAGCCTAGAGATCAAAGATATCCAAGTATGCAATAGACACAATGCACATGTTGTATACACCCTGACATAAACCAAATTGTACTGACAATACTTCGCACAGTAAATATCAACTGCAGAGCTGCATTCCTTTTTAAATAGAATACAGTATTTAAAATCTAGATATTCCCTTCCTAAAGTGTTAAGAATTACATCACTTTCCAGCATTGATTCTAAGGACAAGACCTGTATAATCACAGAAAGGGAAAACGTCCTAATTCCAGTTCCTGCTAAATCCCATCCCACAAATTACTGCCTTAGTCAGAAAGCCAAACTCACCCTGCTAATTATAAATTATTCTCCTTCAATTAGGTAATGGAAATAATAACAAATGTCTTAAGTAACTAATCACAGCTAAATAGCACAGCTTGTATTATGGATACCAAGTATTCCATACCACAAAAATACTCCCAGAATATGAACAAGGAAAGCGCAGTCTGTCTGCATAAACGCCGCAAGAAGAAGTTACTGACCTCAAAATGTAAATAATTAAAAATTATTTGGGACTAATCTGAAATGCAGTTAATATATCATCATTCAGAAGCATTCTACTCCAGTGTGTTTCTTCATTTTAAAGATGTTATATGGGCTGTTTTCTGCCTTTGTACCACGTCACTAACAAGATTTTACAAGTGGGTAGTTAAAGTGAGCTCTGCAAGAACAGTGAGTAGAATATTTCTGTCTGACTACTCTAAATGCATGCAAAGAGGAAGACCAGACTGAAAGCTGATTACACTGCTTTTAAACATGTCCCTGAGTGTCATGTACAGTCTGCACAGTGACTTTTAAGTGCCACATGATTATTATGTAGAAGAAAGCTAATCTTTGGTGTATATTAGCTTGAAGCTTTCAAACAGCATAATATCTTTTCATGTTAGTAGTCCTGAATACAAAGAAAAATTTAATAAAAACCCCAATTAGGAGGACTCCTGGATATGAATATGCTCAACAGGGTTTTGCAATTTGATATCCAAGTACTAGCATATTTATCGTAGAAATTAGAAAATTCTGGCAGCTAACTAGTGAGATTACAGCAGGGCAGCAACACATGAAGGCAACCTTCTTTCTGCCCCTGGCTAGCAGATTATTTGTAATAGTTCATGGATGAAAGGACAGGCAAAAGATACCAAAACTCTGCTTTGTAGTGCAGTGTTAAAACACTCTTGTGTGCTCATAAGCAGGACAACAGTTACCATATAAGAGCAGGAATTAAGAGGAAGGATGAAAGATTGGTTCCCCCTTCCGATAAGGAGGAATGGCCAGTGATTGAGAAACTCACCTCTAGTCACCCACCTGACTTCAATTTCTTGCCAGGTCAAGAGACCCACTGATTGTGCCTTCTCCTGTAAAATGGCAATAGCAGAACATCACGGGCAGGGCAGAAGGAAGCCTGGAGACAGAGAGGTGTTGGGATGATGAGTATAGCCAGAGGTGTAACGGAGAGGATTTGTTTGCTTAAAGCAACGGCTGGTTGCTTTAAGATGAAACAGTCCTGCTCCAGCACTTTCTCCCCCTTTCTTGTTTGTTTCCCCTTTCCCACACACACAGCTTCAGCTCCTCTCTTGTGTAACTTATGATGCTCTATCGGCACAATAAAGCCAATTCAACTTACTAAACAGTAAAAACCCTATGCTTTGCTTTTGTTTTGGAATTATTTTTTATTTAGTGTTGCCAAGTTGAATCAGGTTAGATCTAGATACAGTTAGATCTAGAGACAGTGAAGAGGACAGCTGGAATGATGCAGCCTGAAGAGGGATGAACAGAGCATGGGAGAGCAGCAGGGTCTTCCCTTTTCAGTAATTCACTAGACTGGGAGCTAGAGCATGTAATTGCCCCTGAATGATGGACACCTCAGGTGCCCAGGCACAGAGAAAAGGAGCAGCTCTTCTTTGCTAGGAGTGGAGATCAAAGCCACATCCAACACAGGCACCAGAGCTCCAAGAGACCCCAAGAGATTGACAAGGAGCTCACAAACATAAAATAGAGCTGGAGCTTGATATAATTATATTTTAAAGAAGACTGAAACAGTAGCAGACCAAAAATATAGGCAGGGAAGTTTACTGCCAGTTAAGGAGAATATCCTCTTTCCCTTACCAGAGAAGTTATTAAGTCTTGGTTTCAATTGACTGCACAGTGCTACCCCACCAGATTTGATACTGTTATTCAGTTTGTTTGCAAATAATATCATCTTCCTAATCTATTTTGCTTTCATAACATGCTTCAAGGACAGCCTGTGCATTTAAATAAGGGTGTATCAAGTGGCCATCTTCAGCAAGAGAAAGCTTTGGATCTGTGCAATAGAACTTAGTAAAGACATTATTGGTTGACTAGAGGCCTTTGCATCCAGTGGGGCCCAACAGAACATCCAGCACCACATTAAGAATTGTGGTTAGTTTTGGAATAATGTTCCAGAAAATTATAATCACTGTGTTAACAGAGTAACAGCACACACTGCTCTTACATCTTACCTCTGGGAAAGCTAAGGCTGTCTCCCTTTGATACACAGAGACTTTCTCAATCTGAAGCATACCATACACCTTGCTGGGGCACTCAGGAATATTTTCCTGATTACCACTGAGTCCATCTGTAAGAGGGCAGTGATATATGCCTACAACATATCCATCATTCTTCTGAGTCCTGGGTGAATACAATTAAAAGCATGCCCAGAAACATGCAGAAGCAGCAAGGACCATCATGAGGCTGTTGGCACCACCTCTGCCCACCTTCCACTTGCCAGCCTGCATGACTAAGCCTTCATTTAAAGCAGGATCCCTTGGGAACCACTGTCAGTACACATTTGGAGCACAGCCTGTACTCATGACTCTGGCTCTGTGGCCAGGTGTCCTAATTCCTCTGCTGCCAGGTCCCTATGGACTGACACAAATTACATTATTAATGCCTGGCTATAGCTGTTGGAAGCAGTGAACCAGGTTTATTGAGCAGATAAATGCACCACCTTGAAGAATGTATACTTTACCTTTCACAGTACCTTCCCTGCAGTATTTATCCCTGTGGTGGTGAATTACACTGCATGAAGGCAATCAGATCATAAAACCTCTATATATTCCTACACAGTGTGATTAACAGAGAAAGGAAATTGCAATTACTCACACCTGCTATATACATTTTTTCCAGATGCTTGCAAAGAATGGTGGTTACATTTTTTCTCACTTTCAAAAGATAAAAAAGAATATAATCTGTCAAGCTTCAAGAGTAGATTAAACAGCCTCAGGTGAATTTCAAAATAGCAGTATTCAAAGGGCAGAGAGCACACCTAGCAATATGTGCTGCAAAGCTCCCAGTACACTAGAAGTGCAATAAATAAATGATCATAACAATAAAGCAGTCTTGCATATAAATAACAATTCACCTTGATGTTTAAATTTAGCAAGCAATATTTCCCACTGTACATCAGTTTTGATGCACCTATGATAAATCATGAAGTGTTCTGATGATCTTAACAACATGGTGCAAGGAATGGCACATAAAAACTAGGTAAGGAGAATTTAGAAAACTGAAAGAAATAAAAATATACTCCTGGGAAATTAAAACAACACAAAACAAGTGTCTTCATGGCAGTTCATAGAAGACTCAGGATAATCTCTTAGCTGTTTAAAAAGTGATACAGAAAGGATAACTGGCATCACCTAGTTTTAGGCACTTCACAAGCATGCAATTCTCACCATATCCAGCAGAGAGGGAGAAGTTCCTTCACTGGCTGATCAGGACTGTCTTAACTCAGGTGGCTTTGGTTGCCTTGTTCATGCTCTCACTCTCTGCTACCTACAGAAGAAGTTTAGGCAGCCTGGTGAGCTGATGTTGTGGGTGGGGCCACAGGATTCATCAGCTAGGCTGCCTCAAACACCATGAATGCTTGCCCTAAGTATCTAACGCAAGTAAAAAAAAGGTCTTGTCTTCCTTATCTAATACTGCATTAATCTGACAGTCTTTATTGATACATTATTTCTCAAATAAAAGGTTTTGAAATTAATGAACCAGTTTTGTTTGGGGTTTTTTTTGTGTGTGTTTTCTGAAGATCAATGTAATTTAAACATGCCCAGTGCAAAGAACAGTCTAGTAATATGAAAAGTAGAATGAAATAAATCCATAAAAGGCAGTTACATTTTCCCCTGACACAGTAGCCTACAGGATCCTAGGTGGTCACTGCTTCCCATCAGGCGGTTTAAGAAACTTCAGACATTTTCTAGAAAAAAGAAGATAACATCTGAGGTCTATTTTTTTAATAGCTAGATAATTTCCAGACATATGTTTAACTCTTTAACTCATTGTTTTTCAGAAACTTTTCATTTGGTTCTACCTCTTCTTACTGAAATTCCATTTTCTGCCTTCTTCCAAAGGTTTGGTTGTTTTGTCTGGCACATTGAAAAACCCTGATGGAGACAGGACAAGATAGTCTCACAGTGCTGAAGATGGCTGGTCTGGAGTGTCCTAGGCTGCCTGCTCCACTGGGCCTGAGCATACATCTCTAACTCCCAGACCATCACAAGCATCACTATCTAAAACCCAAATCTAAAACCCATTCCTCTAGTCTTTGGAAATATATGGAAACAAATCCATACAATAATATTCAGGTTTGTAGCTTAAACTATACACACAGAGAGACAAAATGTGCTGCCACCAAATAAATGCAGCCAAAGGTGATAAGAAAAGGAAACTGGAGAGGCCAAGAGGACCAGAGCGGACAGCACGTTGCACAGAAGCAGTAAGAATACAATGTCTTTCCTTCCCCTCCTGCTTTACAGCTGGGTTAGGTTACTTTTACTTATACAGACTCACTTTCCAGAGTTCTGTACTCCTGTTCATTGGTGGGAATACCAAAATCCAGCAAAACAAAACAAATGCTCAGGTAATGGCCTGAGCAGGTACACGTGAAGGTTAAGAGTTTCTATGCTCTTTAGAGCAAGGACAGATGGCAACACAGGGCTGACTAGAAATACAAGCCCTGATATTCCTTTCTGAGCACTGCTCAGTTTGGCTCATTCATAGTTCAACCCTGCCCAAAGCAGTTATATTTTCTGGATGTCACCTAAACCTGTACAGCATTATCCCTTTTACTCTTCATGTCCATTTCCTTATCAGTCACACACTCTTCACTTACTCATAACAATGTAGTTTGGAAAAAAAAAACATTTCTTCTTATTTGGTATTTTTCCAACTCTGTGCCATTCCTATTACACTAATACTTGCTCCAAGAAAAAATATTCAGCAGAACATACAGTATGTACCCAGCAGAAGCTGCTGCGTAGTGTTCTCTGTTAAAGAGAGAACAGCAGCTAAAGACAGAACTGCAGCTAAGACTGTTATTCCTGAACTCAGGTAACTAAAACAAGAGTTTTCATCTCCAGCTTATCATCATTATTGCATGGAACACTAATTTCTTTTTTAGTTTTTCAACCAATACCAATTTGATTGTCTGGTTTTGTATATAAATGCACCCAATGTAGATGTTCCATGGTTTTAATCCATTCTCTAGGACATTCTTCTTTCTCTTCCAAGGCATCCTGGCTTTTTGTCTTTTCACACTGTTCCAATTAGGAATGCTTTTTCTTAATCCCGTATTTTCTATATTGCATCTAAAAAAAGCTCTGTAAGCCTGAAAACCCAAACCAGCACCAAATTGAAGTAAAAAGCTTTCAAAATGCTTCTAAGTTTTCTTTCAAGACAGAAGCAAGATTACAATGTTTTTCTTGGCATGCCACGTTCCCTTTGAAATACTGAGACTATTCTTGATATGTTCTAGTTTTCCTTGTGTTTTATTTTAACAAGATGTGTCCTTTGGGAATGCATCATTACTCCCTTTTCATAGGTTGGCTCTGTCATCTAACTGTGGCATCTCTCCAGGGCCAAGTATGAAATGTATATTTTTGTTAAATGTTATTTAAGTGAGGTTGAGAAACTTTCACAGGCCTACGCAAGTCTCACAGACTTTGACACCAGATGTGATATCTAGTGGTAACCCCGGGAGGGAAAAAAAAAAAGGTGTTTTTTGCAGGAAAGCCAGGTAAACGAGTGTTGGAGCTGTTGAAATAACATGAAAACCTTCTTGAAACAGACTCACTAAATTCAATGCAGTTCTCAGTTATGAGTTGTTCAGAAATGTCACAAGTCCCAACACTCTGTTCTAACAGAATGCTGCAAAAAACAGTTTCAAATACTTGATTGACAGGAGATAAAGGAATGTGGACACATGGATGGAAGGAGAAAAATGTGTTGATAAAGATGACGGCATTTGATCAGAAAACAGTGATAGTGTGACTTTAAAAATGCAACTTAAAAAATCTGTCCCCTAAATTCCACAGTATCATGATTTTTAAGCCAGTATCAGGATCCTTTGAAGGGCCACACTTTTAACCTTACAGTGACTGGGCTGCCTGTACTGAACACATATCACAGATGGTGAGCAGTCCATGCAATCCATTGGTCAAATACAACTGTAATGACTGCTTCAAAGCTTTCTAAAGCTTAAATTTGTTCATGGATGCTGGACAAGAGAAACAAAGAGCTATGTAGGCTGTTTGGAACAAATTGTTACATTAGTCCTCACAGATCCTTTCAGTTGTGGATACAGTTTGGAGGCTAAAATTTTTGTAATGTCTAAAAAAACTTCAAAATAAAATTAGTCTGCACTAGCAGAAAATTAAAACCTTGTCAGGGATACTTCAGGACATTCAGCAAATGTGACAGGCAAACCATTCATCCAGCTTGCTGGCAGCTTATGTTCAAATCCATTATTGACACTCTTCTATTTTTCCACAGTACAGTACTTGAGGATCTCCTGAACAAAAAAGACCTGAAAAAACAACAAAAAAAAATGTACTTCTGGAATGGTTATGACCTCCACTTGTAGCTTCAAACAACTCAGTTTACTTTTCTTCTCTCATTGCTTGATGCAAATATAGCACAGAGTACTGTAATACAAAACTATATTCTCAGTTTCCCTTTGATACAGCTTTCTGGACATACACAGCATATGGAAATCATGAGTTTTCTTGCTTGTCATTTCCAAGTTCAGACTGTCTTGGAATTTTGAAATATTTATTAAAGAATTGTATCATCCTATTGCATCCCTCCCAAGCTTAGTCTTCATTGCCTTTTTCCCCCCCCTTTTTCCTCAAATAAACAAAAATTAATAGTTATTGTTGTTATTCATGAAGAGGATGAATTCCAGGGTTATGTGATATGGCAGGTAAACAGAAAAACTATCCTTCTCATGCAAGTCATACATACATTATGCTAAACTTGGTGTAGAGAAAGCAAACCTCACAAGTCCTTGGCAACCTAGTTCCATCACTGCTCGCAGATAGAATGAGATGACTGGTGGTGGTAGGAAGGCTGAGAAGAAGAGGGGGTTTTAAATTACATACCCTTGGAAATTCATTGCAGAAATTAAGCCTAATAGGTACAGCTGCCTCATGGCTGTGAAGATGTTTCACACGGCCACCACTGCCCTTGACAGCAGGTGGGGTTTTGGATAAACAGCAGCAGGAAGCAGCTAGCAAAAGACAAAAGAAACACTCTTGGAAAAACTATGTTGGAATTTGACCAACATGTTTTCCAGACAGCTCAGTTCCTAAGAGAAACACAGATTATTTAAATTCAAAAGCAATATCCAACTGGGGAAAAAATCCTAAAGATAAAAAATTACACAGCAGTAATGCTTGGTCAAAAGGGCTTGAGCTCCTCTTATATTTGTGTGATAAATATCAGCCACTGCTTCAGCTTTAGCACCTGAATTTGAAGACCCAGTGTTAGACTTCAGCCTGAAAAAGAATGGAAAAAAGGAAAGGAGGGATACCCCACAGAAATGCTGCTTCCAACGTGGGCTCCTCCTGGGAGCACTCTAGCCTAGGTCTGGCCATCACTCTCACCACTCTATGGTGCAGAGAGACAGCAATGCAAGTGTGCAAAGGCAACATTCAGCTGCTGTGAGAACCACTCCTGGTCTAAGACCTGTTTTTAATCTGCAGGGTTGCTTTCAGTACATCCCTGTTGCTGAGGGATTCAGATGCTAGGGACCCCAGACACTCATTTGAATGGCTGCCTGCAGAGAGAGACAGGATAAGGAAAAACACGCAGTAGCTTCATTGTGCAGGTGCAGCATGATTATCCATCCCCAAAGAAAAGCTCTGCAGAAAACAGGGCTCTCTCAGACCAGTTTCAGACTTCTGGATGAGTTTTCCACTGGAATTATCTCCAGCACAAAGCTCACCATCTTCTACTCTGAATGTGAGTCACACACACACATACAGAACCACACACAGATAATATAACTATTTTAAAAGAGGCCAAAAATAAAGAGAGCACAAAATTTCTCTTTAGAATGAATGAGAGAGAGAAAAACATATCTAGCAAATGACAATTCTACCAGTTAATGCACTTCTGGAAGACATTCAATCCTGTAATGTGCAGCATATAAGAACCAAAACAAAACTTACATAACATTGCATTACGTTGACATAGTATTCTAGGTAGAGGCACTGGCTGGAATTCATATAAACATATCCATGGAAAAATAATATCTCATCCACATGTACAAGATTTACCAAATAAGAAGAAGTATCACAGCACTTGGCAATTATCATAACATGCACTTCATAAAGTGTAGCTATGAAAAACTATATGCAGTGTTTCCTAATAGGAAATAGCTAATATGGGAGAAAGTGGGTTTTATTCAATTGTCTCCTGCCTTGCAAGGAAACTATCTTATCCCATGGATACTATACAACACACCCCACACAAGTCTAGGCTTGGTAGCACTCCATATTTTGATTTTGATGCAACACCAGGACA